TAAACAGTGTTCTTATTGGGTTCTTATTGGGTTCTCCTAGTTGGCTTCTGCTGATGGCAGACTGGGTACTCAAGAGTGGCAGCAGCCAGCCAAATCAGCCATGATAAAGGGCAGTCCACAAGTCTGGACTTATGCCTAGCCTCATCGTGCTACACCTTGTGTATGTGTGTGTGTGTGTGTGTGTTTTGTTTTTAATATTTAACAGCACTCTGACCTCAGAATCTGCCCTTAAGGCATTCTGGTCTGGCTGAAAACCTCATGAGAGCATTTCAGACATGGAAAGCCAAGACACGGTGGCAAAAAAAAAAAATCCACATGAAGGATCTCTGTGAATGAGACCCCAGTGGATACAAGCAGCCGTCAAAGGAGGATGTACTTTTCTCTGAAGGGAGGAGAGAACTTCCACTTTGCTTATGGCCTTGTCTAAATACTGATGGAGATTCTGGATTCAAAAGGCTTCCACAGCCATGGCAGCTCATGTCAGGAGCCTCGGGTGATCACTAATGTCATACATAAGAGTGTTAATTGTTAAATTAACAACAGGAGTCACTGGGCTCTTACTTCCCATGCAGGACCCTTGCCCTCAAGGAGTTGTATTATGAGAATTAACTGTAAAACTTGTTCTGTGTGTGTGTGTGTGTGTGCAAATTGTTGAGATCTGTACTTAGTATAGAGTTGGTCTTCTGTGTGTAAAGTTAATTGAAAATGAATCTTAATGGAGAATGGGATTGGGAATGGGAGAGGGAGAAGGGGGTTGGGGAGTATGGTAGGAAGAATTAGCATATTCCTAAAGTTGTACTTAAATTTGTACTCATTAAATAAAAGGTTTCTCTGGGGAGAAAAATATTTATTTATCTGAAAGAGTTATGGGGGAGGGGGGGAGAGAAAAGGAGGGAGGGAAGGAAGGAGAGAGGGAGGGGTGGAGGAGACAGAGAGGGAGATCATTCCCCAGATGGCCACAACAGCCAGGACTGAACCAGACTGAAGCCAGGAGCTTTATCTGGGTCTCCCACATTGCCCAAACACTTGGCCCATCTTCCACCACTTTCCCAGGCCATTAGCGGGGAGCTGGATCAGAAGTGGAGCAGCTGGGACACAAACTGGTGCCTATGTAAGATGCCAGCGTCACAGGCAGTGACCTTACCAGCTACACAAGGCTAGCCCCTGCCTATGTGCTTTTTGACTATTTTTGGGAAAAGACCAACAATGACAGATTACAGAGGCTTCTTCCATACAGAATGCCTTCTGATGGACATCTACAAAGGAGAAGAAATCTTCACAATCTATGCCTGTTCTAAAAGGTCCATCCACCAGACCTCTTGTACCTAGTCTCCAATCTTGTTCTTTTCAAGTCCCAATCAACTGACCAGTCTGTTAGCCAGTGTCTCTCAGTCTTTCAGGCCATAGCTACAGTAAAAAAGGTTTAGACAACACCATCATGATCAGCCAGCATTTATGGGAAAAGAGAAGGGAGGCACAAAAACACAAATAGGCTACAGCCTAGTCAATCAGTTTTGGCTTAAGTAGTCATTTACATCTTAGTTGTGTACAATTATTTGGTTGGCTCTAGGGCCTCCTGCAACCAACCAAAACTCAGTTATTGTGGTTAAATTCTATATTGGTCTGTTCTGCCCAGTGCAGTCTCCCCATACAAAACCATGACTCCCCACAACTTTTAATTAAAGCTACCCCTTTAGTTCATGCTTCCACTGAGCGAAATTGTGATGAGAACATAGGCCATCAGTGTCCCTCTCAGTTACCACGATCCTGGGTGTCCAGTCTTGATACATGTGTAGGGGACAGTGTCCTCATGATCATGAATTTAAGATCCTATTATACATGGCTTCATACGGACACTTCAGACTTTGAGAATATATTCCAGTGGGGAGAGTACTATTATAACTATTAGGAGATCACCAAGAATTGAGTATGTTTGTTAGCCAGGGTCCATACACACCAGACCAACTAAAAATGGAAGATTAAAGAATGAGCTACAAGAAGAGTCTACCCATTTTTATCAAGTAGCCTGTTAATTTTGAGCCACTGTATAATACCCAATGCACTTATTCATATGGGACAAAAATATTAGCAACTGCCCAGACTCTTTCCTGTTCAGCTACTAGGTAAGGTAACACTCCATAATCAGGTTACATTAAAACATGGAGGGAGAACCAGGGTTGGTTACAGTATCATTGCACCAAGTAAAAGAGGTAGGCATAAGCAAGGAAAAATTAAGATGGGTGAGAGTCTCATTATATTAGTCTTGTTCTGTTATCTCAGGAACAGTTTCCACATCTGAGATACTGTCTACTTCTCTCATCAACTTTATCTTAAAGTCTCCAATGGGTGTATAGTTCCTGGAGTGTGGAGGGGCCCTTTTAAAATATAGCTAAGATAGGACCCAAGATTGAGGCTCTGATGCTTTACTGCAGTGTGGGTGGTCAGAAGAACCTAGAATAGTGCCTTCCAGCAGAGTCTAAAAGGAGTGTCTCCATTGAATAGGTTGCTGCCACGGGAATCTGATTTGGATCTACTTAAGGAATTCATTCAGATTGCACATCTTAACAATTTCAGCACTGGTGATCCCAGCACGGAAATCTACCAAAGCATTTCCCTGTTTTTTCAATCAATTCTTGTTCTCCCTGATGCTGGATTAACAGTTTAAGTGGGGGAGCGGGTGGAGACACCCTCTCCATTAGAATTCAAAGAATTCTTACCCAGTCCAATGATATGATCTCAAAATGATTAAAGGTCTATACTTATCAGAGTCCTTTCTGAACCTTCTTGAAGACAGAAATACCTTTTAGAATGTAGCATTCATACCAAAATCTGATGACAGTTCATTGTAACCAGGAATTGATATGAAAACTTGGTTATCTCAATTGCATGCAACATTGTAAGACAGTAACTAGAACTGTAACCAAAAGTGTTATACCAGGAGTATGACATTTCTCTGAATTTCATAGTTTCTAGAACTCACATTAACACATTCATAGTCAAAGACAGCACCACTCATTTGCCAATGCTTCCTATAAATAAGCCTGATTAGTTTACTATGTCCCTTCCAGATATTCCAAGGGGCCCTTCTGGAATGTCCCCAAGTTAGTTTGAGGTCAAAAGATGCAGTTCAGGACTTGATTTTAGGAACTCTGTCAGAAAACATAAAACGCTTAAAACTCTATTAAAGTAAAATCTCTGGTTTTGGCAGTATGGTGTAGTAGGCTAAGCCTCCACCTGCAGTGCCAGCATCTTATATGGGTGCCTCTTGGTGTCCTGGCTGCTCCTCTCCTGATCCAGCTCTCTGCTATGGCGTGGAAAAGCAGTAGAAGATGGCCCAAGTGCTTTGGCCCCTGTACCCACATGGGAGACCTGGAAGAAGCTCCTGGCTTCAGATCAGCCCAGCTCTGGCTCTTGCAGCCATGTGGGGAATGGATCAGCAGATGGCAGACCTTTCTCTCTGTCTCTCCCTCTCTCTGTAACTACCTCTGACACAAACAAGTAGATCTAAAAGAAAAAAAGTAAAATCACAGATCACTGAAAAATAGTCATTTACCCATCCAAGATGACAAAGGATTTCAAAAACAATTACAGAAAGTCATTTAGCTTTAAGAGTAAATCCTAACTATTCACTAGAGGACTCAGCTATTCTAAGTAATCAAAAAAAAAAAAAAAAAAAACCAATAAAGTTCTATTTTCTGGTAAGAATGGATTAATTTCCCAAGAAAACCTTGTTGTTTGGTGGGAAGTATCCACACCTGTATACTGAAGAGATGGACCCAGAAAGTGCAGTGAAAGCAAGACTTTATTATTGGTCTTCCAAGATTACGTGTCTGATGAGCAGGCATGCCAGGAGCAGTGACAGCAAGCAATTTATATCCTAGCACACGGGTCCCTCCCCTGGCTCCTCATTGGCTGAGTACTATGGGGTGTACGGTCTTCCCAGACATCACCTAAGTTACAAAGTTACCTTCCTCCTTCCTCAGTACTTTCATTTCCTCTCATTTTCCTCCCGAATTGGCTACTCCATAACTTCCTGTTTGTCTAGTGAGTTTCGCTACATTTCCAAGTCAGCTAACAGTAATTTCCCATTCTGTGTTGAAAATGGACCACCATTTTCTTACATATTTTAGTAAAGGAGAATGAAATCCTAATTTTGCATAATTATAATTTGTTATTAAATTCTTAGAACTTATAAGTAATTCCATTGTTGTATTTATTTTTAAAGACTTATTTATTCATTTGAAAGGCAGAGTGACAGAGAGATTCTCCCATCTGTAGGTTTACTTGCCAAATATCTACAATAGCCTGGGTTGGGTCAAGCTGAAGCCAGGAGCCCAGAATTCAAACAGGGTCTCCCAAGACAGAAACCCAAGTGCCTGGGCCATCAAGTGCTGCCTCTCTGGATACGCATCAGAAGGAATCTAGAATTGGAAGTACAAACAGGAATTGATCCCAGTCACTCCAATATGGGGTTCAGGCATCCTAAGCAGCATCTTAACTGCTTTGCCAAACACCTATCCCCTCTTCTTATTTTAGGTAGCTTGGTTACATAAAATTCCTCTCTCAAGATAGAGCTTTCACAAACCTTCTAGAACCTTATGCAGTTTTAGCTACCATTCCTTCCTTCACTCTAACCCAAATACATCTAGCCTCTCTATACTACATAAAAATAAGTTCCACGAGAATTTACTCAGTATCATACACTGAACTGTGAGACCAACATTATTTGCTATTAAGCAAATGACAAAAAGAATGAACATGGGATGTTCAACTCAACCATTCTGCTATTTGCAGACACTAACACATGAATGGTGAATGGAAAATCCCTTTATTCATAGTGCTCAACAATTACTCGCTTTCTGTATTTTCTTACTTGTACTGTGTGTATACACCTGTTTCTACTATGTCATTCCCTAAAGAAAGAAAAAAAACAGTCCCTTTACCTGTCAATCAAAATGCCCTCTTTCTCGGATACACCTGTTTCATCCAGGACCTAGAAGGGGGATGGTCACCATGAAAATTTGTATATTAAACTCCATGTGGAATTTATGGGGGCACAGAATGCCCCGGTGGCTCCACGCAGGTAGAGGCACACCCTCCTTCTCTCCCTGTGGACCATGGCTGAGGTGCTATTCAGGTGCTCCCTCTCTCCCTTCTCCCTTTGGGCAGTCCTCTGACCCACTCATGATGGGTATTTCTCATCAGCCCACACTTGTGTGAGAATGTATGTTTTCTCTGTTATATAAATCCTGTTCCCATCTGTGTACCTTATAAATTTCTGCACTTAAGAATTCTTAACTTGGGGCCAGCATTGTGGTATAGCAGATGAGGCCACTGCCTGCAGCACTGGCATTCCATGTGGGCACCGGTCCAAATGCTGGCCACTCCGCTTCCCATTCAGCTCTCTACTGATGTGCCTGGGAAAGTAGCAGAGGTTGGCTCAGGTCCTCGGGCACCTCCACTTACCATCCATGTGGGAGACTTAGAAGAAGCTCCTGTCTTCAGAGCAGCCTAGCTCTGGTTGTAGTGGCCAACTGGGGAGTGAACCAGCCAGTGGAAGATCTCTCTCCTTTTCTCGGTAACTTTTTTTTAAGATTTATTTATTTATTTGAAAGAGTTATATAGAGAAGGGAGGCAGAGAGAGAGAAAGATCTCCCATCTGCTGGTTCACTCCCCAATTGGCCGCATGGCCAGAGCTGCAATGATCTGAAACCAGGAGATGGGAGCTTCTTCCAGGTTTCCCACACAGGACTTGGGCCATCTTCTACTGCTTTCCCAGGCCATAGCAGAGAGCTGGATCAGAAGTGGAGCAGCAAGGACTCAAACCAGCACCCATATGGAATGCTGGCACTGCAGGCAGCGGCCTTACCCACTAAGCTACAGTGCTGGCCCCAACTCTGCCTTTCTGATAAATCTTTCTTTTTGTTTCTTTTATTTCATTTATTTCTTTTTTTTTCTAATGATTTATTTATTTTAATGAGAGTTACAATGAGCAAGAGACAGAGAGATAGATCTTCCAACCACTGGTTCACTCCTCAAATGGCTGCAACTGCCAGGGCTGGGCCAGACCAAAGCCAGGAGCTTCTTCCAGGTCTCCCACATGGGTGTAGCAGCCCAAGCACTTGGGCCATCTTCTGCTGCTTTCCCAGTGCATTAGCAAGGAGCTGGATTGTAAGTGGAGCAGCGAGGACTTGTACCGGGTGCCCAAATGAGATGGCTGCATTGCAGGCAGTGGCTTTACCTGCTACACCACAATGCTAGCAGCCAATAAATAAATACTTTAAAAGAAAATCTTGGTGTGAGATAAGAACCTGGAAAAAGATTAGAATATATCTATGCCCCAACAACCAGATGTCTTCCATTAGTGAAGATCACATTGGTTCTATTTTTATTAGACTTTCCTCCTCTATTACACAACAAAATCACAATAGTTGCCTCAAGCAAGTTTCCACATTTTCACTTAAAAATGACTGACATTTCATAATTCAGCACATCATAACTATGCAACTATGACAGTGCATCCACAAACTCATTTATATTCACTGAATTTATTTTAACATTTATACCTGAATTCCTCATTAAACAAAACGAGCCACTGAAGAGGTTCAGGAAATACCACCCCAAAATATAATGGCTTTAGAATATTAAGTTGAAGGCACTGGAAAACAAAACCAACATGCAAGTCTAAGTTTCCATCCACTTACTGAAAGATGGAGCCTCCCAAGGAATGTATTATCTGGCTGGCTGAGAAGTAACGCTTCTCCAGCCATTACAGGTAGAAAGAACCAACCTTTGCTGCGACAGGTCAGCCCTTGTTACAAGCCAGCTTCTAGTCTCGGGATCCTGCATCTTCCTTAGAACCAGAGGACATTTCCTTCACCCTCTGACCGTCTTCGTTCAGCGAGGGGGCCGAGTCAAAGGGCGCTCCCCTTTTCTTGATTAACCCGCCTTATTCTTGCCCAAAGCAACTGTTGGCTGGGTCGCTCATTACAATCAGATCTCAGGCTTAAGCACCCTGCCAGGGGGAGGAAAACAGGAAGCGCAGCTGAGAGAAAACAGGCGAGGCCATCACTTCCCAAAAAACTCACGGAAGTGCGTATTATAGAAAAACTATGCACAGACTTCAATTTTTCAAACCTTTTAATCAAAATATAATTCCAGTTTCCATTAACTTTTGTTAAAGACTGAGTAAACCCAAACTTTTTGCCTTCTCCATTTTAAAGGTACTCATGGCTCAGTCCCTCACTTTCAAATATACCCCCAAATCCAACGATTCTATGCAAACCAAAACTGCCTTATGTGGACACCATAATTCCAAGTTATTTCTGGTAAGATCCATTCATTTCTTAAAAAAAAAAAAAGGTTCTGGGACACGGGCTGGAGTTCAGACCATGCATTCAGCCTGGTTTCCATCCGCTCAGGAAGCCACCACAAACCCCCACAAATGATCACACCTTCTTACTGCACAAACCACCCCTTAAGGTGAACTCACCCAAATGAGTGCAGACTCCCTGCACCCGAGTAAACACACAGTTCCCTATCTTCTAGTTATGTACACACTGAACCCAGTAAGGCACCCGAGGCCTCTTTTAGATTTTATTTTAAAGGCCCAGAGGGTGAGTGAGTGAGAGAGGGGTGGGGGTTGGGCAGACACTGGCTCACCCAGCCAGACACCTTAGACTTCTCTACAATACCTAGTCCAGAGCAAAAAACTGCTCTAACTCAGCCCCAAACACACAGTCATGAAGATTCAGAACCCACAAGAGAACTTACCCAGGCTTCCCAAGACACAGCAAGAGAACAGGGAGCCTGAGGGGCTCAGCAGGTGCGCCGTCTCATTTTCTGGTGCCCTGAAGGCGGATGGAGCTCTGCTTTGGATTTGGATCCGGCTGACTGCGTCAGAACTGTTCAACGTTCAAGTGTTCAAAGGGCAAATGCTCAAGACCAGTCATCTCCAGTGGAGTAAATTTGAGCAAAGACCACCAAACCAAACCATTCACAAATTACACAGCTGCCGGTATCAGGGCCGGTTCTGACAACCTACAACATCATCAGGCAGCATCTGTAGGACAGAAGTAATGGCAATCAATTTAATGGGTTATAGCTTAGTCAGTCAACTCCACTGGTTGCAGCTTAGCTAGGTATTTTTACAGTTTATTCATTAGCTACAACCAAGGCAGTCAGTCAAAGCAGAGTTACTGTGATTAAACTCTATATTGGTTTGTTCTGTTGGGCCCAGCACAGGTGTCCTGTCCAGACCTAGAGCCTCCTACAATTTTTATTTAACACCACTTCCATGACAAGTGAAAACCAGTCACAGCACTCAGAGTATGACCCCTGAGACATTTCCCTTTGTCCACTGTCTTGTCCCACACCCAGGTGAGGCAGGAATACAAAGCTGTGCACATTGCCGGCTGACTGCTGTGTGTCTGGCAGACCTAAGCCCAGTTTCACCGCCCTCCACTAACTGCTTAGAGAAGCTGGTGGAATCTGCAGGTGCAGACTGCATAGAAGCAGCAATCTATATCACTGTCTAGTGTAGCTTCTAGCCTGGGCTCGGTCCTATTTACACACTTTTTTATTTCACAACAAAGTGTTGCTGTGCACAACCGATGGGAAGGAGCAAGTAAAACCAAACTCATGCAGGGCAGTTCAGGTGAAGGCTCTTGGTACCACCAGGCAGGAATTGGGGCCATCAGGGAAGGTTGCAGCCCTCCCTGTCCTCGCTCTGCACGCCTGAAGGTGTTCCCTGTTGGCAGCACCCGATCCGGAGTCAGAGAAACTCCCATATGTCAGCCTCTAGGGCTCAGAGCAGGGTGAAGCAAAGTCCATCTGCAGGCCTGCTGTGGGCAACCACTAAGCGCCCACGAGCTCTGCCTCCTGGGTTCACCCTCTTGTGTGGTGCCCTCCCTTGCTGTACCAGGGTTGGTCTGTGTGACCAGATTGTGGCAGCGCTGATGAAATGTCACTTAGCAAAAGGCACCAAAGCTTCGGTTTTGGTGGCTTGTGGCAGGTAACTTCCTAAGAGGGCCCCCGTAATTCCCACCTCTAAGTATCCTACAGGCAGGACCTAGTAGCCCAATTCTACTTAAGCCAGTAGGGCAAAAGTGACGGGATGTCACCTCTGAGGCAGAACCACTAGGAACAGGACTCATACCTTTCTTGTCCTCTGCTCGCTCACTCCGGAGAGAACCCGCGTAGCAAGTGAGGTCTTGGCCATCTCAGGCGTGAGTGCAGGTGGAAGAGCAGCCACGCCAGGTGAGACTTAGGAACCTTAATTTATCCTAAGATGGCCGCAGTCTCAGCCGATACCTTGAAGGTGGCCTCTGCAGACTCGGGCAGAGGCTGAGAGCTAAGCTACATCTAGTGTCTGGGCCCAGAGAAGCGTGAGACGATAAATGTTGTCTGAAGTGTGGAGTAATTTATTATATTTATTATACAGCAATAGCTAACGACTGCACTCTCTTTCTTTCATCACAGGCTGCTCTTGGTTGATGTCAGTAGCAGTTTAGGGGGAGCCCACTTGGTAAACAGCAGCCATGAGTGAGTGAGGTTGGAGGCAGATCCTCACCCAGGTGAGCCCCAATTGATGGCAGACCCCACCCAGAGCGTGATTCATGAAGGGCCCTGCACCAGAGCCCACAGCTAAGCTTCCAAATTCCTTGATCTAGGCTGCTCCGGTGTGGGTAATTTGTTTTGCAGCAATGGAGAGTTCGTGAGCAAACGGAAAACATTCAGCAAAGAGGGAAAAGCCATGTTCATGAAACCAAGAGAAATATTCTTTATGAGAAGTATTTGGTTCATGTTCTGGTTAGGCCCTGAATGTAGGTATGCAGTTATTTTTGTTTTCTTTTTTTTAAAGATTTATTTGAAAGGCAGAGTTACAGAGAAAGATGGAGACAGAGATATCTTCCATCAGAGGTTCGCTCCCCCAATGTCTGCAACAGCCAGGACTGGGCCAAGCTGAAGCCAGGAGAATGGAACCCCATCCAGGTCTCCCACATGGGTGGCAGCTGCCCAAGACCTTGGGCCATCTTCTGCTGCTTTCCCAGGTGCATTAGCCGCGAGCTGGATCAGAAGTGGAACAGCTGGGACCGGAATTGCGCCCACATGAGAGAATTTTCCTACTTTTGAACTTGCTGTTAGAAAGGCCATAACCATGTAGTGGACAGGACTAGGGCTTCGGAACACAGACGTGGTGTGGGATTCTGAATCTCCCTTCTGTGTGTCTTGAGATAAATCGCCTGCCCCGAGCTTCAGTTTCCCTAATAGGCACTAAACAAAAGGGTGTTCCCCACTTAGTGGAATCCCAGAGTTTGTCCTTAAGGCAAAGGATAGTTTTTTTGATATGAAAGAAACTCTAAAAAACAACTCCATACCTGGGGCTGGCCTTGCAGCGCGGTGGGTTAAGCCACCTCTCCACCATCTCTCGCCCCTTCTCGGGGGTGGGGGTGGGTGCTCAATACATTTGCTGCTGCCATTAATTCAACCAGTATTCCAGCAACTGGGTGCCTAGAACGACACCCCTGGGCTGGTTTCCCAGGGGCTCAGGCGCACCTATTGCTAGGGGCGGAACTGGATTTCCAGGAAAAAGTCTGAGGCTTGGGTACCGAACGCGACGGCTTGGGGACGTAAGTGTCCCGGCTGGATGGCGTCCTCAGAACTCGCAAACGTTCGGGGAGGGGCATTTCACCTCTTGACCGGAAGTTGCCTCTGCCCTGACAAAACATGGCGTCCTCAGCGCCACCCGCCCATCTCCGGTAACCAATGGCGCCGCGACGCTGGGCTGACTCACGCGTGCGACCTCGGCACTACGCTGTATGATGCAACGCTCCAGTCGGGGAGCCTCCGGAGCACGTTGGGGTGATTAGGCGGCGGTAGCGTCGAGGCCGATGTCCTTGGAGGTGACCAGGGCGACCGCAGGGATGGTGCTAGGTGAGTGATGCTCTGCGGGCGGCGCGGCGCTCTCTGCAGCCGAGTCCTGGCGCTTCCCTGCGAGCCCGGAGCAGGGAGGGCGCGCCTCGGACACGGATGTGCGGGACTAAGGCCAGGAGGGAGGCAGCCAAGGGCCTGGCCTCTCCCGCGACCTGGTGGGCCAGGCCGGGCGCTGCTCGGGCCCTGGGAGCCCGGGGCTGCGATGGCGGCCGCCTTGGGCCCCTCCCTAGGCAAGAAATGCCGGGTCGCCGCCGTGATGCAGGCGCTGGGACGGGTCAGACTTAGCCCCCCGACACGCAGGTCTTCACGGGGATCGTCCGGCGAGCGACTCCAGCGTTTTAATGCGTTTCCGCAGAGCCTGGCTTTGTGTCGAGATTTCCAGGGAGACCATACGGGGCAGTGGGCAAAAGCAGAGCCGGAAGAGGCTTGCGTGGATGTCACGGTTGGGGATTACGGTTGTGTGTAGCCCTCTGCAATGTGTGAAACTCAGATCTCCCGCTGGCTTTAAAGACCAGGGGTGACTGGCTTTTTTTTTTTTTTTTTTAAATTTGGCACCTGTGCCCCGACCTGCGCTGTGTATTTATTTCCGCCTACAGATGGTGGTGATTTTCTTTAGTCTGTAGATGGAGAAACACCCCCCCCCCCCCACGCCCTCCAGCAGGGTCACCCTGGCTTTTAAGGTACAACACTCAATATTCCCATCTAGGTCGGGCTGCCTTGCAAGCCCTTGTTGTACCTAATCAAGTAGATGGAAACAGTAGCACCCATTAAAAATCGTCCAAGTTCTTTTTGGAAAGCTTAGTCTATAGCCAGTGTGTCTTTAGGAGAGGAGTGTCCCTGGAATAGGGCAGTGGGAAAACGGGGGGGTGATGCCAGTTTGTTTTGAACTCTGGTGATTTTTTTTTTTAATGCACGTTCTGTTTACCAAGGTGAAAAATGGGCCAAGTAGTTGTATATAAGGTGACTGACGAGTAACTTATTCTCGTTTTGTGAAACAGCAGAGCTGTATGTCTCCGACCGAGAGGGCAGCGATGCCACAGGAGATGGAACCAAGGAGAAACCGTTTAAAACAGGCCTAAAGGTAGTGTCTCTTCTGAGCAAACAGACCCTCTGCTTACTAATGGCTCGCGTCAGTCCTCTGTAGCCGGTCAGAATTTTATTTCAAGCACAAGGCTTTGAAGAGCACTTTTCGGAAAAGGGGAAGTTAGGAATGAATGCAGATTTGTAGCCTTAAGGTTGCCATGAGCTGACCAAAGTCTGCTCTGTGTGAACATTTAAACGAGGTGTGGAATCTTGGGATGTCTCGCTCTGGTACATCAATTTGCCAGTTTTTCAGTTTCTGTAAGAACACAAATCACCTTTTCAGTCGCACGGAGCTGATGGCCCGGTGACTCCTACCAGGCCTAGTGGTGACTTGACCGCAGCCCACAGTGTGGTCCTGAGCCTGGAGCCTCAGGGGTCTGATGAGTATCGGCACACCGAAATGTGCCTGTGGGCCCGAGCAGGCACGTGACCCCGGAGCGTGCAGCTGATGAGTAGGCCGCGTTTCTCAGGGCCTGGAGTTCGCACGTGAGTTCAGCACAATGCCGGGAAGCACACTGGTGTGGAAAGCCAAGTAGAGTTGCAAAGGGGTTGGTTCTTCGAGCACAGGGCCTCACCGTAGGGGTGCTGCATGGCTAACTGCGTCAGGTTAAGGTGTGACCCAGGCATCCTTAAGTAGCCATGGACTCGCCAATTAAACCAGAATGGCTACAGCGGCCACATGGGAAGATGATTGGAAGTTCTCTCCTTGGACAATTCTAGGGAAAGCAGGGCCCTGACACTGCTGTTTCTACACATCCAGGCCTGGCCTGCCCACCTGTTGTGACATTAATTTAGCTCTTGTCAGTCTTTCTAACCTGGCACACTCACTCCTCTATTGGGTCATACCATATGAATAAAAAGAATTATTTATTTGAAAGGCAGAGTTAGAGGAGAGATGGAGAGATCTTCGAATCACTGGTTTGCTCCCCAAATGGTCACAAGGACTGGGGCTGGGCCAGACTGGAGCCAGGAGCTTCACACAGGAGGTCTCCAGTGTGGGTGGCAGGGGCCCAGGGACTTGGGCTGTCTTCCGCTGCTTTCTCAGGCGCATTGGTGGGGAGCTGGTTGGACAGTGGAGCAGTCAGGGACTCAAACAGGTGCCCATATGGGATGCCAGTGCTGCAGGTGGTGGCTTTACTCATTTTGCCACAGCTTTTTCCCTGGGCCTTGCTTTCTTTTTTAGTATTTTAAAACCAGAACATACATTGCGTGATTTATTGTTGAAATTCTCAGGATGTGAACTGGGTGCCACAAGAGCTGTCATCCTGGGTCAGGTGCTGTTCCTTCATGGAATCCGTGCCTGAGTCTGCAGCGTGCAGTGTCCAGGTGCCTCACCGAGCAGTCCTGGTGGTCTTCAGTCTCTTAGCCGTGGCACCCCGTCATGCTTTGCGTGCACTTGGCAGGGGAGCCCCATTTGCCACAGGCCGACTGCTGAAGGTGGTAGGCCTTAAAGCCCCAGTGGCTGTGTAACGTGTGCGTCTTATTGCGTCACTTTCCAAACAAGGACATTCCCTTTGTCATCTCCTACACCCAAGACCAAAAAGACTGGAAGGAAAGGCACTTCCACTGCATTGCTCCCTGGCCTTGCTTTCTGATTCTTAGAAAGGAACTCTCTTTCATTTCTGTGGTGTTGGGCCCAGGTGAATGTGGTTGTGGGTGGAAGTATGTCATTCTGATTTGGGCAGTGACAGTTTGGTTCTTTCAGTTCCAGCAATAGAAAAGGAGGGATCAGTACAGGCTGTTGCATAGTAAATGAATTTTGAATGCAAATACAAATACAGGCATGCTTCACTTAACAGTAGGGTTGTGATCTGAAAAGTGTGTCATTGACGATCTTGTCATTGTGTGAACGTGGTTGTGCACTCACCAATGAAGACAGCTACGCGTCACTAGGCAGTATAATCTTAGGGGACTGCTGTTGTACACATTGTCCTCTGGTGACCAACATGTTGTTAGGCAGTGCGTGACGCTTTGTGCTGTTGAATTGTTGAAACAGTGAATTCGCTTAGGTGTTTCCAGACGAGCGAGTCTCCCTCCTCTGTAGCACTCATAGACTTAGGACTAATGGCCCTTTTGAAAAGGTCCCTTTTTTTAGGTTTTGGATCCTGGGGCCAGGATAATAATTCATTTGCATTTCTTGTTTGACTTAATTTCATGGAAATTTTGCAAGAATATTGGAGGCAATTAATGAAACACTCATCTTTTATGCACTCTCAACTAACTTTGTAAAAAAGGAACACAAGCTTTAAATTAAGAAATGATATAGAAATAATGCTGGAAGTGTCCCAGAATTGGTGAAAAGAGATATTTGCATGTGAGAATTTTACAAGTTAAATGAAGCCTACACTTTTATGCACTTGACCACTATTTTGTTGAAAGAGGATCACAAGTATTTTAGACACTTCCCTGATTTAGGTGTTGTCTCCGGACAGTGAGCATTTGCCGTTAGCTGTCTCTTCTGTTGTCAGTGTGGGTATGCTGTGGGTTGGAACTTGCTGGAAACCCTGGAAGGGTTCTAGCGGGGGTGGGAAACGTTCGGCCCGTGAGGCCCTGGAAACTGATTTGTGTGTTCCTGTCAAGGCAACCTGCAGGCGGGACTCCAGATTCAATAAATCTGTAGCAGGCCAACTTTTAAGTTGGTGGTTTTGTATGGCCCGTGAATGTTATTATAAATATTGAAATGGCCCTTGGTGGAAAAAAGGTTCCCCACGCACTCTTGACAGAGCAAAGCGTTTCTTGGTAGGTTCAGCCACTCTTTCAACATTGACTTTGGCTGTTAGGGCCTCTGTTGTTTTCTTCTTGGCTCTTGACTGTGTTCTAGATTGTTGAAGGTGCCTCATAATTGATTTTTCATTTTTAAGTATTGTGCAAAGTTAAATTTCTCTTTTCTCTCTCCCTCCCCCCTACCCAAGGCTTTGCTGACAGTAGGGAAAGAACCTTTTCCTACCATTTATGTGGATTCGCAGAAGGAAAATGAGGTAGGGCGAACCAGAAATTTGACTGAATTTTATTTTGTTAACAAATTTTCATCAAGGCATAGAGATCTTGAAAAAGTTTGATGTCTCTGTCTCTCTAGAGGTGGGATGTTATCTCCAAAACACAGATGAAGAACATTAAGAAAATGTGGCATCGAGAACAAATGAAGAGTGAATCCCGGGAAAAGAAAGAGGTGAGCTGTGAATGTGCCCCTGCGAACCGTTTTGGAGGTGGAACACTGGACACCGTGCTAATGCATTGCTGTATCCTGAAAACTAGGCAGAAGACAATCTGAGAAGAGAAAAGAACCTAGAAGAAGCAAAGAAGATTACCATCAAGAACGATCCAAGTCTTCCGGAGCCGACATGTGTACGTGCGGAAATCGTCTCTCGTGTCCTGGGCTTGGCTCCGTCAGTCTTTTTTTCTGAGTGTGGGGGCCGTGCCCCGTGGTTTGTTCCTTTACATCGGCTGCCTTTGCTTTCCTTGCAGAAGGGATAGGAATGAGGCTTTACCAAGCCTGGGGGCCAGGCCTGGCGGTGCTTGTGGGCGCTCAGGGAGTTTTCTCCTCTCTCGGATCCGTTTCCTTCCCGTACAGTAAAGAGGGGGAGATCTGTGATTTTCACCAGTGTTTAAATAGTTGAAAAGCACTTAGAACTTCTGAAATTGGCTTTCCTTTTCCTCCTCCTATTCTTTCTGGAACC